GGGAGAACAGATAGGCAGTGCTGGAAAATTTTAAATAGATTACTGAATAAAGTAGGGAAGAAAAGCTAATTTCTTAGCTGGTTTAGACGCATATTTAATTCAAACAATTCATAGGCCGTCTTAGTAAAATTGACCACTAAGTCTATGAAATCATCTGGGTGGAAGTCAAGAAAAGTCCTGTCAGAAAATTAACGCTGATTTCGGTAAGTTTTCCGGCATCATTTTTTCACTAGCTCACTTAACTTCTCTTTTTTATTTGTTAATAATATTATTATATATACATAATACCGACAAGCAACGCAGTTTAACTATGATAGGTAGCCGAGCTAGGGCACTGTTTGCTTTGATCCTGAGACGACTTAGGCTGTCACTGACTCCTTTTGTCCATCGTCTTTTAAGTATTGCTTTGCCTCTTCTGCGTTTCCATATTCATGTCGTGCGCTGTCGCTTCCAACATCGTTGAATTAATTCCCTAACCTGTATTATTCAAAACCAGCTGTTTTATTTATTTTTTTAAACCGATTCTCTGCGAGTTTGTTATTTAGTGTATACTATTGCTACTATTAGTGTATAACTTTAAATCAGTGGTTCTCAATCTTCCTAATGCGACGACCCTTTAATACACTTCTTTATGTTGTGGTGACCCAAAACCATACAATTATTTTTGTTGTTACTTCATAACTTCCGTGAATATGTGTTTTCCAATGGTCTCATGTGACCCATATGTAAGGGTCATTCGATCCACAAGGGTCGCGACCAATAGGTTGAGAACCTACTCTACACAAATGCGTTTTTCAATGCCAGAACGACTGTGTTCCTCTCTTGGCTGCAACCTACAGTTGTGAACACCCCTGTTACTCAAAGAGTCGCAATATAGACGTCAGTCCAACAGAGGCAATCTCAAATACCCCGAATATATCTGTATGTATATCTACGTACCTACCCACCTACCTACAAACTCACCTACCACCACTTCACCGTTGTCTCGACCACTGCCGTATGTTTTGTCATTGCTCTTAACTGTACCTGAAACTCTTACAGCTCCCTGGGCTGTTCAGCCAGCCTTCAAATATGAGAGACGAAGCTATCGCCACCTTCAGCACTCTAATTAGGCGGTCTAGGGGGAGGGGGGGGGGGCGTCCTTTATGGGAACACTGGTCTGTTGATTCTCCTATCCCCCCCCCCTTTTTTTTTATTTCCAAAAAAAGATTCACCGATACAATTACTGCCCCCTTTGCTGCTCTGAGTACCTACACAAGTTTTGCGGCTGGCAGCGTTTTAAACATAGGTCTAAGCACTTCTGCATATCTGAGTTCTAGGATAGATTTGCCAGCAATTGTAAGTGGTTCGAAGCTGTCACAGGCTTCCTCACTAACTAATATTTTCAGTGTAGGCCTATTTGTTGAAAAAGGAGTTCCAACCAGTACCCCGTATTTCATTCCGAGCATCGCCCAGCTTTATCTTTGTCCCCACCGCTGCAGTGTGTTCAGTCATTGCCCACCACGTGATGCACCCGAGGATCTTACCGGTCCTCGGGCTGTTTCACGGCCCCGTAGATTTGACCTACCAAGCTACGGCTTTCTAAATTTTCACAGCATACTCAATGGAATACTAGCGCCAGGACCGTCTTAACAGCATTATGGGTAGCCCGGGAAAACCAGTGTGCTAAGGCCTCTAAGATAACCACTCACATGAATGAAAAAGTAAAGGACCCTTTTCCACGCCTTTAGGCATATAGGGCAAGACCTATATTTTTATAGACCAATCGGCACAAGATGGGTGATTTAGTCAGCATCACGCCGGCCGCCTCTACTTCCCGAGACTGCACCCGGTACCCACTCAAGGCTGGGTCGACCTTCGAGCCAAGGTCATTTAAAAAAAAAAGTCCGGCTCCTTCAGGGAGTCTGCTAGGAAAGAAATTTTTTTGTAAAAGTTTTAGTCTTGAAAAAGAACCGTCCTCTGTACAATTGGTTACCAGCATTCGAAGGGACACTCAAAATTCGGGGGGGGGGGGGGTGGGAACAGATTTTAAATTGTTAAAAAGTATTTTCCTGCACAATATTGGAGAATCTCACAATGTTTTAAATAAGAGTTATGAATTGCTTGAAATACTCACAATGTTTTAAATAAGAGTTATGAATTGCTTGAAATACTCACAATGTAAAAGGCCATAACAATGAATGTTTTTGTGACACATTTCAGCCGAACGTTCACACTTTTTGTTTAGAACATCAGAAGCTATAGTTTTTCAGTGTGTGAATAAGCCTCTGTACGTATTGGCAGTTTAAATTCCAGAGAATTAATGAACGTTTCTATATTGAAATTTTCGGTTTTACTGAGAAGTACCTCTTCTTGTAGTTCTGTGGATCTATCATATTTACTAAGACGCAAACTCTTCGCTGTCGCCGTTTTATCCCACTACTGTGATCTGTGTCTGGACACATTCTCCTGGCTTTGAAAACATATTCACTAACCTTTTTTTTCCGGAGATGGGTAATCAAATAATCAGATAAACGCAGTTTCAACTTCATAGCAAACGGGTGATCCTATAGTTGCTCCATTCCTGCGCCAAGAAAAACAACACATACTCCCCATCACTGTCCCTTATTCGCAGCTGACGGTGTCGCGCCGTGCACTCAAATTAGTAGTTGGGCCACGAAATTAAATTCAAGAAGATTCGTGGCAACAGGAGTGTTCACATCTTATGATTGGAGGAGATTGCTTGTTTTATTCATGCTTTCTATTGCTTGTTTTATTCATACTTTCTATTGCTTGTTTTAGTCATGCTTTCTAGCATTTTGCTTAATCCCTCCACCTCTCTCCTTGAATTCACCAGTTGTTCATTGTCAGCTGATAGGGAATCCAGAGTATGTTTCATTTTCTCGAAACCTCCATGCAGAGCATGTACATCATCGAACTATGCTGACTTTCGTGTGTCAGACCGACGCTGGACCACAATCGTTTCCTGAAGATGATATCAGTACATTTCACCGATGAGTAGAATCAACACAACATGAATACAGATACTCAACAAAATCACAGCATTTTACAGACTGTATGCAACCCTCTACTGCTTTTACTTTCACCAAGTTGAAGTTGTGTCCAGCGCAGGCCACTGTGCTCGTAAATTGTTGCTGTGCTTGTTAATCGACCTATGCTTCGTTAATATAAATTTATGTAACCAATGGTGCCATTTCAATGGTTTGAAATGAATTCTGTCCGTATTCCATAGTTGTGGATTTCAAGCTGTACGACGGACATGGCCAATGAGACACCTTTGGGGCGGGGGGGGGGGGGGGGGGTGTGCCAAATTAACCATATTCTTAGTACACTTGTTTCCATAGCGAGTTACACACGCCGTCTGGACGGGACAGGTTCAATTTCCGGCTCAGTAACTATAGCTTTCGATTTTTATGTTGTCTAGTGTGTTCTTTCACTTTCTACTTCTTTCTCTGAGTGCCGATCAATACACTGTCTGTTACTTTATTAATACATTATATTTAACGGCCTCAAGAGTCCCCCCTCTGTTTATTTATGTGAATGACGTATACACACTAGAACCTACTAATCAAATACCTTTCCTAAATGTTTGTATACTCTAGATAAAGAATTAAGGTCTATTGTGTTCGTAAATTGTTGCTGTGCTGGTTAATCGACATATGCTTCGTTAATTTAAATGTATGTAACCAATTGTGCCATTTAAATGGTTTGAAATTAATTCTGTCCGTATTTCATAGTTGTGGATTTCAAGCTGGACGATGGACATGGCCAATGAGACACATTTTGTTGTTGTTGTAATTTGGTCAGCATCACACCAGCAGTCTTTACTTCCCAGGATGTCACAGACCTATGGGTGACCTTGCTGGTCCGTGGCTCGTAACTGGGCCTATGACAGACAAACTAACCTTTGACACACACTGAACCCGAACGCACACAGAGCACACACGACAATCTTTATTGCAAGTACAGGTAATACAATAGACAGTTGACTGCCCGCTGTGTGGCCACCTATTGCCTGGACCTTCTGGCCGAACGGGCTTTACAATCGCCTCGTTCCCCAGTACGTTCTACAGGCAATCTCCTGGTGCACAAACCACAGCAAGGCGAGATACGTTCTTTTCTATCGCCACACTGACCGACCAAGAAGATGTCACAGCCTCTGTCCAGTGCAGGGTCAGCGTGGCAAGGCTAGACGTTTTCTCACAGAACATGTACCTAAACCATTTAACTGGTTAGAAGTAACAGGACACAGTTTACTTCTTGTGGCACAACACAATACCTTGTACCAGTTAATACACAGCACAAAAGACTATCCTATTCTAACAGAACACTAAATAATCTATACAGTCACTAACGAAATATCCTAACTCTAATATACTATCACTGTCTCGCTACACGTCTGCTCGGTCCGAACGCTGTACACTCCATCTCCTGTGTTCCTTTTACCTCGTGTCTTTTGACCCGTTCACCAGCTCAGTCCCCAATCCAGCTCAATCGTGTCGCGAACTTGTCGGCAACAGAGTTCACTCTTTCTTGTCGTAGCCAAGCGGTTTCTCCTGAGCGCTGGTTTCACCGTGCAATAACAGGACAGACTTGACCAGTCACGGCCCTGACCTTTGTGTCAACCCTGGGGTGTCACCTGAACACGCACATCCTACGGTGTGGTCCATTCCGCCACTGACTGTACTCACAGGGTTGTGACACAGGACTACACCCGGTACCCACTCAAGGCTGAGTCGACCTGGGGGCCAAGGTCATTTATGAAAATACCCACGAACTTCCGATCACAAAAAGCGACTAATGACTAGTTAAAAGTGCGATGAGACTGGATGAGTGGAGCCGAAATATGGACACATCGCAATCTAGCTATAAACCACAACAAATTGTTCCAACCGAGTTTGAAAATTCGAGAGAAAGAGAAGAATAAGAACATACCTTTAAGTGTCAGATAATCTAAAATACTTTTTTTCCCCCTAGGTAGCGAGCAGAAGTGTGCCACAATGCCCCGACTAGAAGGCATGTATGCTCCTGGGAATGAATGCGCTCACCTGCTACCCCCAGCCGGCTTTCCTCTACCCTTTCCTTCTGATGTGTTCCAGTTTAACCGGGTGGCGCCGTACTACCCGCCAGACCCTTGTATCAGGCCTAATGAGGGGGATCTGACGTGCCCAATGTCATGTCCCCCTCAACCTGTGTGAGTAGAGGTCATGTTGTCAGATCTGTCTGTCTGTCCATCCGTCTGTCCGTCCGTCCGTCCGTCTGTCTGTCTGTCTGTCTGTCTGTCTGTCTGTCTGTCTGTCTGTCTGTCTGTCTGTCTGTCTGTCTGTCTGTCTGTCTGTCTGTCTGTCTGTCTGTCTGTCTGTCTGTCTGTCTGTCTGTCTGTCTGTCTGTCTGTCTGTCTGTCTGTCTGTCTGTCTGTCTGTCTGTCTGTCTGTCTGTCTGTCTGTCTGTCTGTCTGTCTGTCTGTCTGTCCGTCCGTTCGTTCGTTCGTCCGTCTGTCTGTGTATTTATCTATCTGCCCGTCCGTCCGTCCTTCTATCTGCCTACCAACCTCTCTGTCCGTCTGTATGTCTGTCGACTTGCAGGCCTGCCTGCCTACCTGTCTGCCACTTTACTTACCTATCAGTATGTAGGCCTACCTAGCTACATAACAACTTAGTACCTTCCTGTCTACCCATCGATCTGTCCGCCTGACTGTATTTCTGTCTGTCAACGTGGTATGTCAGTAAGTATGTTTTTTTAATTCATAGAAATCACCCATGCATGCCTCCTGCTGGGACAGACACCCGACTGCTCAGTGACGTGTTTCGGTTCCACAAGGTGTACCCGTCCACCGGTTGTAATCCGTGTAAGCAAGCTCACCCTCCTACATGTTCATGCACAACTGGACCATTCTTCAGTTGTTGGGACACGAAAATCAGCAGGAGACATCCTTAGAAACTGTAAACGGAAGTCGAAAACTTATGGCTGTGAGTCATGGACATTTACTCCGTCTTTGAAGAAAAGGTGGAGAAAAAAAGGGGTGGTGGGGGGGGGGGGGGAATCAGATCGATTGAACTGAAATGCCACCGAAAAATTCTTAGCATATCGTGGACCAAAAAAGAAGAAAAAAAATCGACATCCTACAGGATTGAAACATCGAGGACAACTGGCTCATAAACAGCATCCTGTCCCTAAAGCTGAGGTATTGTGGCCATGTTAAACATCATGATGGTCTGGAGAGAACGGTGGTGGAGGGTGCAGTTTCCGGAAAACGAGGCAAACGCCGATCTCCGTGGATACAGGACGCAGAAGACGCGTTGTCTATGAAAGAGCATAGGCCTGGAGACTTGGCTGGACATAGAGAAACTTGCATGCCTGCCGAAGAGAGGGATGTTCTGTAAAGCATCTGTTGCTTTATGATGATGATGATGATGATGATGATGATGATGATGATGATGATGATGATGATGATGACTGCGAGTAAAAACCCTAATTTTTTGCCCTTGCAAACTAGTTCTGCAAAATTGATTAAATTTACTCACAGTATAAACTGATTATACCTGTCATGCCTCCTAGTTTTTGATATTATCCCTATCCGCTACTACACAGCCTTTCTCCAATACCAAACAAGGGCGTACACGCCTTGTTTGTATGAGGGTTTTTCTGGTTCACCTACTTATTTCTTTACAGAATGAACAATATTTCAAGGGCAATCTCTCCGCTTTCTGAATGAAGCCTAGGCTCTCTGAACCTAGTGACCAACAGTGCTATTACTGACTACACAACTCCAATAACACAGCGCACAAACGTTTCTTTATGTTTACCAGTTAATGTTTTCAGCTAGCAGACATTTTACAATTTGCTATTTGTAAAGCAGATTATCCCCACTCTCTATTTCAATGAATCAACTGTTCTTTTTGTCTTGAAGCGTGCAACATTTTATTTTAGTATCGTTATTATCAGTGAAGAGAGAGAGAGAGAGAGAGAGAGAGAGAGAGAGAGAGAGAGAGAGAGTGAGAGAGAGAGAGAGACGATCAGACAGGTAGACGGACGGACGGATGAATGGATGAACAGAAAAATAGATAGATAGATAGATAGATAGATAGATAGATAGATAGATAGATAGATAGATAGATAGATAGATAGATAGATAGATAGATAGATAGATAGATGGATGGATGGATGGATGGATGGATGGATGGATGGATGGATGGATGGATGGATGGATGGATGGATGGATGGATGGATGGATGGATGGATAGATAGATAGATAGATAGATAGATAGATAGATAGATAGATAGATAGATAGATAGATAGATAGATAGATAGATAGATAGATAGATAGATAGATAGATAGATAGATAGATAGATAGATAGATAGATAGATATAGATAGATAGATAGATAGATAGATAGATAGATAGATAGATAGATAGATAGATAGATAGATAGATAGATAGATAGATAGATAGATAGATAGATAGATAGATAGATAGATAGATAGATAGATAGATATATAGATAGATAGATAGATAGATAGATAGATAGATAGATAGATAGATAGAGAGGGAGAGAGTGAGAAGTAAAATTTGAGAATACACAGGATGAGCTGCAGAAGGCAAAGGATAGGGCGATTTGACTATGAAAAAAGATAATGATGAAAACGACGATAAAGAAGGAGGAGGAGAAGAAGCAGAAGAAGGAGGAGGAGGAGAAGAAGAAGAAGAAGAAGAAGAAGAAGAAGAAGAAGAAGAAGAAGAAGAAGAAGAAGAAGAAGAAGAAGAAGAAGAAGAAGAAGAAGAAGAAGAAGAAGAAGAAGAAGAAGAAGAAAAAGAAGAAGAAGACTAAGAAGAAGAAGAAGAAGAAGAAGAAGAAGAAGAAGAAGAAGAAGAAGAAGAAGAAGAAGAAGAAGAAGAAGAAGAAGAAGAAGAAGAAAAAGAAGAAGACCGGACAAGAAGGAGGAGTTGGCAGAAAATAATTATTCTAAATGTAGTCTCCTTTTTTAAGCATGCAACCTCTACTAAAAGGCTTACTGATGTTTACAAATAAAACTGCATTGATTCTACGAACTATCCTGACACATTACCGTCCTACATTTCTTTCAGGCCTCGCTACCCGCCGTCAAAGCCCAGCAAACACTTTGACTTCCGATACCCGGCCGGAGTCACTGCATGCAATGCAACAACACACAGACACGGCCATGTACCACAAGAATGTTCCATGATTTATCCTGGACCCGATGAAATGATATGTCTCGACAAGCCACGACCTTCAGATTGCACAATTTGTCCACCTACTGGATGCAGTTGTGAACAGTGCTCACGTATCCGTGGCATTCAAGAGTATAAGCTACACGAACACGATCGGATGGCAAACAATAGTGTTCCTGGCTTTAATATGTCGTCAACAGGACCATATAATAACCACATGGTTAGCAACGTCTCTAAGTGTATGAATGCTTCCATGTACAACAACACATCCACCTCATCCGTTTCTAGCAGCCAGAAGCTTTGCAGAAGTCAATGCTTCCCTGATCCGTGTGCAGTTACAGGCAACATGCATTACAACAGCCTGGGATATTCCACAGACAGAAGTTGTACCCAACTGCCCGTTCAAAGGGCCGATAAAGTGGTCGATTTCAGCGCCCCATGCCCTCACTGTCCCCACCACTATTACCCATCATGCTATGTGTGCAGGCCAGTTTACAACCGCAAATACCTCCTGGATTGTCCAGAACAGGACGGCCCTCCAGCGGATACTTACACTTTCTTGTAAAGCGAAATTAACAGTTTTTTTTTTTTTCAAAGCGAACACCACAGTGAAATCATATTATGTGTACAATGTGTTTGTAATGACACAATGAAAATATCTAATTATTAATACAAATGACTTAGCGTGATGTTCAGCACTTAACCCACGCTGGGTCTCTAAAAATACAAGTCTAGTGTCAAATACCGGATGCGCCTAGGAGTAAAAATGGTTGTTAAAAAATGACTTTCTGTACATCTGTAGCCTCTTCATGCTGCTGTTGACACACAGGCATACATCAGTCATCTCCTTGGCTGCTGCTTGCCTACAGTATCCCGTCATGCCCTTTTAATTCAGCCATTTTCTGTTCTACTGTCCTCCTGGTTTCCTTGGAAAATTGCAATCAGGAATGTCTTTTCATTTAATCAGCCCAAAGATCGGCACTGAAATCGTTTCATCTTGTCCCTCCACTGTCTCCTGTTTTCAGCAGCTCGTTTTATTTCAGCCTATATATATGCCCCGCCCAGCATGCATGTGTGATGTCATTTTGTCATAGAAGTCATTACAACCATGCACACACAGAACAAACTAGTCTTGCCTACCACAAGGGGTTATATTCCTAACGTCCTTTTTGGGAAGAAATTTTTTATTTGAAGCACCACCCTGGCTTTTTCCAGGGGCCGCAATATAGGCAGGCCTTAAATATGGCCACTTGCCTGAACGCGGTTTCTGGGACCTCTCCATGGTGATCCTCATCCACATTGTGGCACTTTCTGTCATCTGGTGTTTATAGCTTGTGTGATGTCCTGGTGGGGTAAAAAGTCAGTCAGCACCACAAGAAGTTTCTGTGAAGTTAGTCATCTTGATTCAGATGTCCGTATGTCAAGGATGCATTTTTGAGTGTCACAAGAAGGCTAGAATCTGTCATTGTTTCTTACACCGTGATGTTTCAATCATTAATTGTATTAAATCCCTATTATTTAGATCAGAAAGATGAACTCCTTTACAACCTCTAATGTTGACACAATCACATATCTCATTTCTTAGGAACTCTGCTGCGCACAGAACCAAATACGTTGAGCTAGTCGAGCTGAGAACAATCTTACTGTTTTGGCCATCGGTCTAATTCTCTACAACAGGACACAAGAAGCTTCTGCTATAGACATTTATATATGACCTAATATATGCTACTCTCGTATATTATAAGTAGTCTTACCATCATTGGCACTAGAATCTCGCATACAGATCATAGTAAATTATCAAACAGTAGAAGGGTAAACTTTTATTATAATGAATTGAAACAGAGAAATTAAAAATTGAAGCATACAACAGCAGTAATTTCGTTTCTTTGTGTCCTCAAAATAGTCATAGTTTTTAATTAAAACCACCAGGGCCGGGACGTGCTATGATACAGAGAGCTATCCACGTCAGGCGGCGCCGTAAAGGGGGAGGGGAGGGGGGGGGGGCATGGGCAGCGAACTCCAAATACAGTTTGAACACAAAGCTATTAGGAGCGGCATTGTGAAGACTTGTATCGTACAGAGAAAATCTACTGCACGGGAATGACTATCGCAACTGGATACGTTTTAAATATGAATTAACACAGAGAGTGGGAAAGGGAGAGAGAAGGAGATGGGAAAAATGATACAGAGGGGGAGGGGCACGGAGAGAGATCGAGGGAAAGAGGGACGAGGAATGAAAGGGGAACAAATAAATAGAGAGGGGAAGAGGAGGAGGAAAGGTAGAGGGAGGGAGGAAGGGAAAGAGCAAGAGAGAGAGAGAGAGAGAGAGAGAGAGAGAGAGAGAGAGAGAGAGAGAGAGAGAGAGAGAGAGCGTGAGAGGTAGGGAGGAGGAGTGTCAACACTTTGAGTTAAAACAATTTGATGACTTGTGGCAAGGAACGGGGTCAGCACAAAAATTGTCAACTGCTGTTCCAGTGAAAGATGTGCGGGAAAACAGCAATGGCAAATCACTTGATGAGGAGGAAAAACACAATAGAGAATAAAAGATATATAAGAAAAAGCTTAAATGTATCAACTGCGCCTGCATTTTGCACTCGTCAGGAGTATATGAGCTAAGCGAGTGGATAGCACGATGAGAGAGGCTGCTGGAGTTAATGAAATATTTTTAAAAAGCAGCGATTGACTTCATTGCATCCGATTTAACCAGTCTGCTGCTTCCATCGACAAACTGCAATTCTGGTAGCGGAATGTTTGTGTTGGCATGTTAGCAACTGCCGTATGCATTTAATGCGCTTACATACTGATAGTTTTGTCATAACTGCAGTATATTTATTGTTCCTTTTTTTTAAAACAAGAAACAGTGATAGGCTTTCTGGGGGCTGTAGACAGAAATTATTGGCTCACCCATTTAGCGTGAAATTGGAATTGCGAATAACTAATTAACTAGCTTGTTAACTAATTAAATAATTAAATAACTAATCAACTATCTTTACCGTACTGGTAAATCTTCACATCCTTGTCCAGGCTGGAGAACATGAGGGTACAACCTGCCGCTGCCAGACATTAGTATATCATTAAAAATGTAATATTCCGGTCCAGTATAGCGGACAAGCGGGCTTACTGTTTTTAGTCATGGAAAGGTTTTGCTTCCGCCAATGGTTAGCCGTTGCATTTTCTCCTATATGTGAAGTGACAGTACAAAGTACCATCACCTAGTTACTGAGTTCAGTGTTTGGCTCGACACTGTGAGCTGCAGATTTCATTTGGAATGCTTTTCCACCCTACCTAATATTTTGTGAACTGCAGGTTAAGAAAATGGTCAATGATCATTTTCCACAAAACTGGTTGTAATTTATACAATTGATTGCGTGTGCAACCATTAATGTGTTGTAACTTCTGCTTCCATCAACAGTTAACTGCATTTCTAATGCCAGACTGTTTATGTTAGCACTCCTGACGACTGACTCGTGCATAAACATTTGATGTTTTTCCAAAAAGTAGTGAAAACAGGGGTGACTACAGCCAAGCTAGTGCTAAGAAATTAATCCAGTCAACTATGACTAAAAAGCAGAAATGGGGAAGCAGAACAACGTGCACAAAACACACAAAAAACCCTGGACAAAACGGCGATTTATGTGTTTTAAACACGTTGTCCTGTTTCCCCATTTAGTTACACTATTTAGTTACAGCTCACTGAATTCATTTAATGCTTCTGAATGTTACTAAATTTGCCCAAAAAGAAGAAACTCCACAGGGGAGCATGTACAGCAGGAGTCTACCAATCATCAGTAGAAGTGATCCCTCGTCAACAATTGTTTCGGCCCACGAGCTCCTAGACAATTTCAGAGGGTGGGCCCACCTGAGTTCATGAAGCTCAGGCTTGATCTGCTCCTGCTGCAACTATTACCGGATGTTCTTGGACAGGGACACGACGAAAATGGTGACTGCAACAGGTACTGTGAGATTCGAAGTTTATTTATAGTCACTGCGGTAGCCTATTAGATCAGTCGTCAAACCTTGACAACCAAGTGGCAGGCAAGCTTACGGTTGGTTTATCGGACACATGTTAGACTTTGTTGGCAATTGGCAGAGGGACACTGGTAGACAATTCGGACGCAATGGACTTATGGGATAAGACTTTCTTTTCGACTAGACACCTGGACCAGCCTACCGAGGTCCGTCCCCCAGGACGTTCCGTTGTGTCCAGAGCCAGCTCGAAGCCCTTTCAGCAGCTTCGCCCAGTTATTTTCGTGATGGTTTCCTCGCAAGCCCAGCTGCTTTATCACATTGTACATGGAAGTACAATCGGTCATGCATCGACCATATATTCACACTCAGGACCATCGTAGAAGAGTCAGTAGAGTTTCAATCCCAACTCATCATCAACTTTGTTGATTTTCAGAAGGCCTTTGACAGCATACACCGCCCTACACTCTGGAAGCTACTCACAATCTATGGTTTCCAAGATAAATATGTCAATATTATAAAGGCCTTCTACACCGATTCCCGCTGCCTTGTTAGAACGGAATCTGGTAACTCTGATTGGTTCCCAGTAGAAACAGGCGTGAAACAAGGATGTGTCTTGTCACCGATGCTTTTCGGAATAGCACTCGATTGGGTCATGCGCAAATGCACACAGGACACACATCTAGGCATCAAATGGGTCGACAAAGTTCTCGAAGATCTTGACTTTGCTGACGACCTAGCACTCCTGAGCACAACACATCTAGAAGCTCAGGAAAAAATGGACCGCCTCCAGAATATTTCAAGCCAAATCGGCCTTCAGGTCAATGCAGCCAAAACGAAAATCATCGATCTTACCAACGAGTCGAAAGACATCAAACTAAAGGATATTGTTCTTGAAAAAATCACCAGCTTCACATACTTAGGGAGCAAGATAACCTCTACGGGAGATACAACATCAGAAATAACGACTCGAATCGCGTTAGCATCAAGTGCCTTTAACAAACTGTCAAACATTTGGAAGTCAAGATCACTCAGCAACAACACGAAACTTAAGGTCTTCAATTCCTGTGTGATCCCAGTGCTAACTTATGGTTGTGAGAGTTGGAAATCATCAGTATCAATCGATAAGAAACTAGTCGCTTTCGAGAATAGATGCCTCCGAAAGCTATTGAATGTTCACTGGTCGGACTTTAGGTCCAATATATCTATAAGACAGGAAACAAAACAAAAATATGTGTCTGATTTTATTAGAATGCGTCGCTGGAATTACATCGGGCACGTACTCAGAATGGACATACAGAGACTTCCCCACCAAGCCTTCATATGGTCACCAGAGGGTAAAAGAAAACAGGGAAGACCAAAAGAAACTCTCCGTAGAACCATCACAAAGGAGAGCTCAACCATGGGTCTCAGTCGCACTCAAGACCTACATCAAGTGGCAAAGAACCGACAGACGTGGAAAGCTATGACCTCTGCCCTATGCGCCATCTTTGGCACAAGAGGAATAACTAACTAACTAACATGGAAGTGGAGATAAGACCTCTTGCGCCTACCTCGACAGCGAAGATTCTTACTGTGTGTGCTTTGTCTTTTCTCAGA